CATTTATTTGCAAAATGAAAGTATTAATGATTTGATGTCACCTATTTTCAGCAATTAGATCCCATTTCATCAATCAATCTTTCAGTCACAAGTCTCCTTTTTCAGACCAACCATGACATAGGAGCAAACCTTGGTACGATTTTCCAATTCCAAACTGATTATGCCACACAACCTCATGGCCATCTGCTTGAAGTTCATCGAATACAATAATTTTATCCACAAAAGAAAGCAGTAGGTGCCCAGTTCATCTCATCCTTGATGTAAAGTTTTGGTCAAGAAAATTGCTGGAGTAACATCAATCAGCCTCTGAAAATAACCACATCACACCTTCTTCTTCATCAAGGCCAATCCATCCACCATCTGAAAATAAATATTTGTCCAATTCTTCGCAATATTGCCAATTAAAAGGTTTACCAAAATTTCTTGGCTACAATGTTTTTCTCCAGCACCAAAAAGCATCTGTAACTCCCAAATTGAGTTCTTTGTTTTTTTAATCTATGAAGTATCCCTTTTTCTGATAAATAGACAAGAAGTTAAATCATGGCAACATTTATAAAGGTTAACTGGTTTACGTGCTTAGATATTTTTATCAATTCGGTCCTATAAAATGTTTTGAATGGAAATAATAATATCGTTTCCTTGTTTAAAGAATGGGAATAAATTTTTTCATGAATCTGAAAACAAAGTTAGTTCTACAAGATTGGCACTATGTGCTGCTATTTCTCACTAGTTGTTTACTAGACGTTCTAAGTAAGTACAAATTTCTCGGTCCTTTTTTGATGTTAAAAATGGAGAAAGGAAAAAAAAAAAGCAGTAGGAAGTGCTTTGTCTGTTGTTACTAAGGATATAATTAGTATCTAATCCTCTTGATAATAGAACGTTACTTTTTCGAGTACTATTTCTATAAAATTAAAAAAAAAAAAACATATGTTTACTTGAACCAAATTGGCGAGCTACATCGCTTAGTTTGCCCATACAAACAACTGAAGTATCATAAATTACGCTTGCGGGAAACCCAAAGGAGTTATTCGTATAGTAGAAAATTTATACAATGAAATTTTATTGAAAAATGAAGAAAAAACTCCTTCATTTTTATCCCATGAACAACTTTGTCATTCCAAACCCTTGGAGTGAACCAAAATATGTTCAGTCTAACATAAGAAGGACTGAAAAGTTTAAGCAACAAATTTTCTACTGAAATGTGTAAAATGATATCAATTAATTAAGCAATGCATCACTCATGATTTGAGCTTAAAAGCATTTGAATCCCGGGGATTTATTAGTTGAGTTTACCAACAAAAAGCGATTAAAAAAATTATGACATGCCCACGCGATAGATATATAAATATGTAAATTCCCAAAATCAAAGAGGTGGATCATCATTTATTTTGTTTCTGTCGTATAAGTCATATAATGGCTTAAAGTCGGATTTTCCCTATTAGTTTTTCAAACTTACCCCATCTTTGTTAATTTTTTTTATCGTATATCAAGTACCTCCACCAATTTGCACAGACGAAACCAAACCAAAGAAAAATAAAGACTTTCATAATTACAAGCCCAAACCAACAAAACCATACTTCACAACAACACTGCAAGCAAGAATGAAACACATGGACGAAGAGGCATGCTGTTAAGCAGTTATCGAAATATACACAAAATCAAAATCACTGCCGATGATCTCAATTAATTTTTCTGTGCTTTGAGAAGGTAAGCATCCACGTCTCTAGAGCAACTTATCAGAAAATCAAGATGGGAATGTGGGGTTGGGATATCTTCTCTTGCTTTCTCGTACTCTAGAGTCCATTTCACCATGTTTACATCGCCTTGGGCAATTGCCTGGAGAGTGGCTTTGAAGCTCTTGAAATAGCTTGTAACTTCACCTCCTATAAGCTCAAATGTGATGGTTTTGTTTTCCATGTCAATAGCATCAATCTTATCTTTTGCAACCACAGGTGTCTCTGTTTTACCAAAACATAGGTCTAACTTTAATTGAAAATAAAAGTAAATATCAAAATGGTGGAATTAAAACAAGCAACCATAAGCCGGAATTCGACCACAAAATTTTTATAAAAAAAATGAATAAACCGGTTAATTTGTTAAGGGCAAATAGTAATTTACAAGGCTATAAAACTATGTTCATCCTAGAGTCTGGCCATTAATCATTTGGAGTCCAAGATAGTCCAGCATAACTCGATATATTTCTCAGTAAACCGTCATTACTTAATTAGTTTTATGGGTATCGTTTCGTTACCACGAAAACTGATGAAATGATTTTTTGTTTTTTCTCTTTTCTTAAAATGCCATTGACTGGAGTCATTTCTGAAGAGACAATATAATGATAGTAACTTTTAAGTCATCAAAGTTTCCTTTGCTGTAAAATTGTTTGCCTACAAATTTTTCTCAAAACAAAAACAGAGTCTTCATAAATGCTGTCATACATTTGTCTGCTTTTTCTACTACTGAGTAATTACTTTCTTCACCCAAGACAGTAGAACTATTTGCTTGCCAGTATTGGAAGAAATACCACAGTTGTTGTACAATACCAGTTGTCATTTTCTGGCCATATGAATACACACGATGTTTTAACTTCTGCCAATGTACAAAACACCTCCAAACAATTGTCTGGTTGAAATCCTACCGCTTGTCTAAACAGACAAGACATTAAATTGTTCTTAATCGCGGTGGTTGTTGTATTGCATCTATCAAAACCTGTGGTATATTAAAGCACACTGCCCAGGACAAGTTTTTGATTAATTTTATCCAGAAATTTGTACATCAAAAAATCCAAGCACTTGGACAATATGAGGAGCTGATCAATCATATATTGGTTTTTTTTTTAACCAAAAAAAAAAAAGGCAATACTATTGTAATATAGTACTTACCCATGAAATAGGTCCAAAGTCTGATAGAGCCAACACTCTTGCCATCCCCCTCGAGCACTTGAATGCTTTGCAGTTTGTCAGGACTAATCTTGGGCATGAGGCTGGTTTTGTTCTTGTAAACATCAAATACCCTATCAGGAGATGATTTCATCTCTGTTTGGAGCTCAAGCTTACAAAGTTGAGCCATAGTTCTACTACTATTTTCTTGACTTTTTTGGGCTACGGAAAAGGGAAATAATTTTGCTAACTTGATATCAAGACGTCTAGAACGTGGCCTATTTATAACGTCAAAAGAAGAGTGTGTGTTTTATCAGATTCTCGTGCATTTGCATAGCTTTGGCTCAGGCAATGATTTAGATGAATCATTCCTTGCTGCTTTTGGGTTCCGGAAGAAGCCACAAGGTACAGACTAATTTCTGATTTTAAAAAACGCACCATGGCTTATCATAATGGTACCGCATTTGGTACAACAGAATCCCTAGTAATCGAATGACATTAGCAACACTAAACTCATTTATATTTTCATATTTACCAGTCACCAATCAAATGGTTAACCTGTTCTTGATTCTGAAATATCTAGAGATGGTAAGTAGTCGGATCTGGGGTAGGAGAGACCCTGTTCTACCAAAAAAAAATATATATTCTCCTCATCCCCGCTATTATTTTTATTTTTTATTTGAACTTATTTTTCAATATATATAACACTAATAATAATTTTACTAATAATTTCTTTTTTGAAATTTTAGCCAAAAAAATTGAAGGTAAAGTAAAGTTTAAATATCACTTTGATCTTTTTAATTTATTTCTTCATATTTGATACAATATAGAATTTAAACTAATTGCTACTATTTCTTTTAATAAACCTGCAATATGTGGAAAAAAAAAAGAAAAATAAACTAAGATAATAAAATGATCATTTTACGACAATAAATTGATAATAAAAATTGCATCATTTTATCACAAAAAAAAAATATCATGTCCATCATATATCATATTATATATTATATATGATAATATCATAGTATTTATTTCATATTATACATATATAAATATATTACACAATTATCAAATCATAAGTGGGGGCTAAAGCAGGAGTATCCTCTCGCAACCTGTAATTAAAGTAGGGGGAGAAAATTCTCCCGACCTCGCCCCCTTCCCTACCCAGCTGCTTCCAGCAGAGCGATGCCTCCGTTGCCATCCCTACAACTATCTTTCCACAGAACAAAATTGAGGATCTTTTCTGCTCATTCTTTTCTGCCCTTCTACTCCGTCATTTAGTACCAATGGACAACGAAAATTATGGTAACTGAAAACATAACCAATACGTCAAGGTACCTAATGTTTTCTCCCAACAGTATGGCCAGAAGGGAATTGGATTAGAAGCTAGTTGGCCATTAATGGAGCACAATTCTAGATATCTTTCCGGATGATGAAAACGACAAAACGCATTTTCCTACAGGTAAAAAAAAAAAAAATTGATGGAATCAAGTTTAAAGGAGCTGCAATGAATATAACCTGGCACATGGGAATATTTGAGGGTTTCAATCAACAAACAAGTTCCATAAAGTTTTCTTTTTATACTGCAAAAGCTATTCCATAATTGTGTAACTTTAGTAAGTTTGAACAATTGGGGGTTAACCAACTCCCTCTGGAAGGAGTTGACCACCACATTAATTGTGTGGCGGGAGATCAAGGATTCAAACCCATATGATCTTATAGTAATTTATTCCCTGTCAGGTTCCCTCGACTTAGTTGAATCACTCCTTTAGAATAAGCTCCCCCAATAGGAGTAGAACTAAGCTAGGTTAGACTTAGTTATGCATACTCACTATTCATTTCTTGGTCTGCTTGATAAAATAACTTCAATTGCAAGAATCATTTTCAGAACTGATCCTCCAGGCAAGTGGAAAATTGTGGTGGCGTCTCTTCATAAACCGGCTGATCACTTCAACGCTTTTTGGAGACGTATCAAAACACTTGAACTCTACTTCATTTTGAACTTTAAATACATGCTTTACAACTTTGAAGGACCAAACTTAAAATGAAATACAGGTTGTGTTTTGTACAGTACTGAAAAAAGAAGCACAACCCATTCCCTCCCACATTGGATGCCTCCAGTTATCAACAAAATAAGAGTAAATACCAATTTAACAAAAATAGTGTGGACCCACTGTAAAGGTAAGGAGACTGGGTGAAGGTTAGCACAAATTGGGGTTGTGGTTTGGCGGCGTTTAGGTTCAACAAAACATCAGCGCAGTGGCGAACTACAGATGACATGAAGCTCAAAACCAAACTGTTCAATTCAATGGCAAGTATGCCATTTCATTGCATGGCCATCATCTACATAAAGAGGAACATCAGTTGATCAGATCTAAAATATAAATATTCCAATTTGTTGATGCCTGTATTTGTCTATTTATGTCACATAATTAGTTGAATGGTCATATCTCCATCTAGTGCGGCCATACTAAAACTCTCTCTTGCGCATGCGGCAACAAAACTGTTGTGTATCCTGGGTCAGGTGTGAAAATACAAGCTCAAGCTACAAGTCTCACTTCTTTAATAAGGTACGTGAATCATTTCTAGAATTGACAAGAACTGAAGGGGTAGACAACATGTTTTCCTTATCTGGTGGATCGCCGCCTTTCTCGATGCTTCTTTCATCTTTTTGCGATGTAGTGGAAGACGATGCTCCTTGTATCTGTACTGTTAAGCTTCCACCTAAAATTGAACGGTATAGATATGGTAAGCATCTTCGCAACAAGTGTTTTGGAGCATGTGGGGTTAGGGGAGAGCAAAAGCACAGGCAAACTCAAGTTTCTGCGGGGCAAAAAAGATGTTACTCTGATGCTCACAAACTGTAAGTGCTATAGTCATTTTAAGAACCAGTTGATTTTCTTAGTCAATTAACCTGTCCATTTAAGTAGTTAAAATGAAATAGATGGCACAGACAATAGCCAGAAAGGAGATGAGGAATAGACACACCAGGTACGGAAAGCAAATCTGAAGAGGATCAACTTGCCAAAAGCATCAGTTTTAAAGTTACCATTGCGAAATAATCAGTCACCAGTAATTTATTCTGGCATGTATTGCTACAAATGGACAATCACACTACAATATAGGCCACGTCAGAAATAATAATTGTGAAGATTAGCAAAACAAAAAGCGATTCACTTGGAAAACTCCAAGGGGTCAACAAAATGTCCCTGAAGCACTATAGCATCACAGATACCTTGATGGCAAGACAGCCTGAGTTGTAACATTGTTAAAAACTTGTCCTTCTTTCATCAAGTAGTTATTTTGCTAGAAGTCAATTAATTGAGTCAATTGACTACATGTTTCTACCATGCACGGTTGGATTTTAGAAATCATATAGCAGATGGAAGATGTCTTATACCTAGAACAAGAGCAGCTCCAATCCATCCATTGACACCCCATCTCTCTCCAAGAAGAAACCATGCAAATGCAGCACCCCAGAGCGGCTCCAACCCATAGATTATTGCAGTTTCTGTGGCTGAAACATCTCGCATGGCCGCAATCTGTATTATAATGCTAGGTGATTAGATCAAGACTAGCTAGCAAAACCTGCTTAAAGTAGAGAAGAACAATGATCTTTGTTTAAGAATCACCAATACCGAATAAGCATATATTGGTTGTCTTGGTTTCAACGATTTATTTATTGAAAAAAATAAAAAGCTAAATTTTGCAACTATAGTTCACAATCAAGGTCTTTTCTTTAAAATAAAATTCATCTAAAACACTTCAGACAGTCAAACCAAATTCCATACCTATTAGTATTATCTAATATTGCAGCAGAAATCATGTAGTGAATTATTCTGATTTCTACCAATTAGAAATTGTAACAAGAATTGTGGTATGGAAGTGGTAGAAGAAAATCAATAGTTTCTCATCATGGGAAGTAACATCTTATTAGACAGGTAGTTTGAATCATCTACTCTTGGACTGAGATAGAGAGCACTTGTTTTGATAGACGAGACAACAGATATGATTGATGCAGTAAGAAAGAGAAGGAATTGGATACCATTACCATCACAGACTGAAAAGACAAGACATAACAAACCAAAACATTCCAAGGCAAGATGCTCAAGAACAACCAGTACCTGGCACGCCCTGGAATAGCCCAAGCCTCTGATTCTGCATTCTCCAATTCAGCTTTTATTTAGGTAAACCTTGGTTTTGGTCTTAGTTTTCTTGTCAGTCATTTCAGCAGTTAACTTTCCCTTCTCACAAAGTTATCATCTGAGGTAAACATCTAGTTCCTAAATTTTGAAAATATGTAGGAAACTCCTTTGTATATTTATGTGACCAGAGTAACATAATAAAATGCAGGAGCTAAAAATATTTCTAACTGCAAAATAACAAGTAATTTTTTCTGATTAAAAAAAGGTTTAACATAATGCATATACTAAAATACTTTTGGTTCTTTTATGAATACAAGGAAAAATACCATTGCCTCTTCTATTCTTATCAGATTAGCAGTAAACCTTTATTTCCATCTAGCCTTCCTTTAAATACTTAAGGAGAGAATTTATATTTCAGTTTAACAGACAAACTTTAGACTACAACAAATAGATGAGTACGCGCAATTCAATTCAATCAACAGAACAGGATTGCATAGATGGAACCATATGGAAAGTTGCTCAAGATATGAGCACAAAGGCATGCAAAAGAAGAACTTTCACAAGTAAACACTCAACGTAGAAAACCAATACTTTAAGGTGGCCATACCTCTACCCATAGACATAATCCTGTGGAGACAACACCAGTATAAATTGCAGGTACCCATGGGAATGCTACCATCCAATCCGCAAATTTTGCCCATGTCCAGGATGATGGGTTTAATGCTTGAGTGCCACCAGAACAAACTCCAAGGACATACCAGAGTGTTGATAAAAAAGCAACCACACATACCTAAAGGAAAAAATGTCCCAATAATTCATGTAAACTGAAAATACAAAGCCAACGGATTGAGGTGGCACTGAGAGTAATTCAATTCCTTCTAAACTAACCTCATATCCGAGGAGAGGTAAGAGGTTCTCTTTGGTAGTAGCTCTAGAAATATGTTCTGTTCTTAGCATGTGAACCCCAAAAAATACGGCACTTAAGAAATTCAACAAGTCCCCAACCTGAAAGGTCACACCAAACTGGTGAGTACTCTTGCATGTCTGTCTTCTGTCGAATGACAAATAATGGTTTCCAGTAAACATATTCACTTGAGAAGTCAAAGTTAACCTCTTCACACTTGCATGTAAAAATTTTGAGGAAGCAAATAAACCAGGAAATGTAGAAGACACTTACACAAGGAGGTGAGCCACTGGATTCTAGCATTCCAACTCCTACTATAGACATGAGGGCTCCAAACCAAGTACGTGCAGGGATCTTCGATCCTAGGATACCATCAAGCAAAGGAACCACAATCACCTGAAGAATTGTACCAAAATTTTGGAATGCTGGCTTATATATCTATCAGTGTCAAAATAAAATGGCAAAAAATTTGTGAATTGAATGAGATCCTTGCATATTTTCTTACAGTGAACATTGTGAGGAAAGATGCCCGTCCTGCACCCGATGTCTGCAATCCAAGGGCTTGCATAAGGTAGCCAAGGCTGACCCAAAATCCCAATTCTATCCCAGCATTCCGGGTTTGAACATCATCTCTTGCTTTCAAAACAAATGGCGAAAATGCAATTGCAGACAAAACAAATCTGACAATAGTGAATGTGCCAGGATCAATAAATGCTTCCACTTCTTTCACTATAGGAATATTGCTAGCTGCACAAAAGAAATGATGATATTAGTTAAGCACAATACCAAAGGCCACAAAAGAACTATTTGCTACACAACAAATTTTGGCCTCATTTGTCAGCCTCAGAAAAACTATGAAAAAGCAAGCATCATAGATTCATAAGGCTTGCAAAGAATTAGAGAATGCATTTGCATACTATGATCCCAGCCATTCGCAAGCCATTAAGAAATGTTTCTAGAACAGTCAGAGCTCTTTCTCATCACATAGGATTGAAGAGAATCTCTACAGTGTATTTATCATATACAAGTGACGCGAAATTCAGGAAAGTTTACATAAATGAAGACATGTTTATGTAATTAGCTTTCTGTAACGCGAAATGATACAATTGAAGATCTCAAAGTAACATGGTAAACAGTCGAAATGAAAACTCAACTAGAAAAAAAATTCTTTCTCAACCAAAGTTTGATTCAACATGTCCCGTGATTTTCTGAAATATCTCGATGTGACTCCTCTTGATGCTCTCAAATGTCATCATTAGCTCAAAAATGAGCTCCACTTAAAGATTTCCATCCTACGTTATATACATTCTCCCTTTAACAAGTTCAAATAAGAATCTAGAATTACTTCAAGAAAAGCATAATAACGACTAGGAATCTTGGCCTATCACTCTGTGTATGGAGATCAGTCATCCTTTCTACGACTACATCCACCTCATAGATCATCAAACTCAAATCAAGATTACATTTTTCCTTTTTTCTTTTACTAGTATTTTTCCTTGAACCGACACAACCTACCAATTTCTCCTGACTCATAAGCACAATATCATATTTTTGCATCATAGTAGTTAATTCATTACCTTAAAAATTAGAGTAAACCTTTCCTATGGATAGTGTATATACTATCATCTTTGCATTCATGACATGTGGCTAAAAATTAAATTTTAAATTTAAATTCATCTAATAATAATGCTGATAATGTATATACTAAAGATTAATTCTAAAAATTAACCGTTAAAACTAGAAAAGATTTTCAGAAAAGTTTTGAAGAAAAAACTGACCGTAAATTATTGTGATGGCATTGAGCAAGAGAATGCTCCTCACTTTCTCCGATGCGAATAAAATCTTTCTCCATAGCGCTTTCCGTTCAAAGCTTCGACTTTCCGGCAAACTAACGCCTTTTTTAGATAAGTCGGGCTCCTTTTCACTATTTGAGAAATCGCCATCTCGTAATTTAACTAAGAATTTCGGCTCGCGTGATTGTTTCTGTTTAACGCTTGTTCCATGCGACGTCGTAGTAAGTTTGTTATCCGTCGGACCGGAACTACTACGGTGGCAAGTGAAAGAAGAAAAGAGGTGAAAACGACGTCGGATCGGGGAATAGTAGTGACCGAGCTTGATTGCTGCAGCAGAGGTGCAGTGAAACGGACATGAAGGTGCAGCCATGGTAGAATGGGGTGCAGCCGCAGGTGAACACAGACAGATTTCTCCATGTCTTATTTTTTTTGTATACTTAAATTTGGAGAACTTGAGGGGAAATTGGACCAGTGATGTACTGACGCGTGTACATTTGTTTTGGGATGCAGAGTGTGGAACTTTACGTGGCGAGTGTTGATTGGCTTGTTGTAGGGTCGGCAGTAGGTACAGAAGAAGACGGAAATGGTAGGATAGACGTCAAAGAAGCCTGTGTCAATCTAAAGATTGAGAGGTTTCGTTCTCCTTAGTGTCTCAACGTTGTCCAAGCGCATGACGTTGAACTTCAAGATCAGGATATCTTTGTTTGTACTTCAAGATTAATTTTCCGTAAACACATTTTTTCCTTAATTTTTTTTATATATCAAATCGTTATATTATATTTTTTTTTTTAGAAAAAAAAGCTTATGAAAATACCAATTCAAGCGGACTCTTAATTTCTTATATATTGTCTGTGTGATATTTAGAAATGCAAACTAATCATAAGGAATAGCATCAAACTAAATAAGTAAATAAACGTGAGCGTGTATATTGTATAATTAAAAATATCAAATTGTGTGTTATTAACAAATGCTATCGGAGCTCTCAAAATAATCTCGAAGTGGAAAAAAAAAAATTTAGCATATGACTTTATTCTTTTGAGATAAATTAGGGTGAGGGGAAATGAAGTAAAAATTGCAATTATGTATGAAATTTCGATGTAAAGTGGTAATCATAAGCCACATTTTGCACACCCATATTCTATTGCTCTCTATGTATCTGTCACGCTAGGTACATATTGTATTTCGATAGAGTTGATATTACATTTTAAACTACTCGTGTAACAAAAATTTTACATTCTCACCGTATAAGAAGTTTTTTTTGGAGTGAGTAATTTCTTTTTTCTTTTTTTAATTAAACCGGATTGATTAATACTAAGTTCACAATTCCTCTATTGCAAGAAAAAATGCTTTAAAGGGATTCAACATGAGATTGGTTTGTTACCTCCCAAAAAAAAAAAACAAAAAAAAAACCAAAAAAGGGAGAGAGAGAGAGGCATGAGTTTGGTTTGTGGAATGTCCAACTTGAACGTGGTTCGGGCGACACACCCTGATATAGCAACGCTTATGGAAGTTGTAACTCATTAAACCATATCAGGCCTGTCAACGGGTCGGGTCTAGACCCGGATCCGAACCGGATCCGTGAAATTATTGCGGGTATGGGTAGGGATTTAATTCCGTTTCTCGAATCCGAATTCGGGTCCGTTTTGTCAAATAAAAAAACGGGTCGGATACGGAATATAGTATTCCGGCCCGTATTAGACCCGGATCCGGATATAAATGAATTAATAATTTAAAAAATATATATTTATCAATATAATTTGATTAGGGTGATGTATTTTAATAAAGTTAATTTGATTTCTTTTCTTATTTGATTTTTTCTTTGCATTAGTTAGAAATTAGTTTACTAGTATATTTTTTTCTCATTTTTATTAGAAATTTAAAAATTTGGTAAATTTGTTCGGGTAGACCCGGATCCGGATTCGGGACCGCCGGATCCAGATCCGAAACGTAGAATAAAAGACCCGTCGGGTAAACGGATCGGATCGGGTCCGGCAGAGTAATTCAGGTCCGGGTTCGGAATAATGAATTTCGACCCGGACCCGACCCGTTGACAGCCCTAACCATATGGCATTCAATCTGGGCTTAAGTCTCTTCTTACCCGTTCTCTTGAGTTTGTAACGTTGTCCATTGGTGCCCAATTGACATCTAAGTGTTGTTTTTGGGCCCATTTATCGCATATTTTGAACCATTTCATTTACTTCCCTTATCAATAAATGCTTCCCCTATTAATAAATGGGTTAAATTACCTTTGACAATTCCTTCCAAAAATAAAAGTTCCAAGAAAATTTTTCTTGGAACTTCACATCTCTCTATATAATGCATGAGCAATGAAATTGGTGTTAAAAAAATCTGTCATTATTTGTTATTCCAATTTTACCCTTACATAATAGAATAATATACGACCACCTCATGTTTCAAATTCATGTTTACATATTTATCCCAAAGTCTTCCTCCCAACTTCATTGAAAAAAAAAAGTAGAAAAAATCTCATAATATATTTTTTCCATTATTTGTTTTCCCTTGTATCATGCACAGCCGTAGGTATGCCTCGCCCACTAGGATTAATAATATCTTATCACAATTTTTTTTTTCGGCAACGATAACAACTGGATAATCTATTCTATCCTAATCTATAGGGAGGGGAAGTGTAAGGAGACTTGTGTATTAGAGACTAATAGATATGCAAAGCTAACTATACCAAAGGAGTGCTATAAGACCATCCATGAATTTTTTTTGTTGTAGTGAACCCCCCACATACAGACCAAAGAGGACTTAAATCCCTTCCTGGTGGCCACTGAGCTAAGCTCCGTGGTTATCTTATCACAATTCAATTGCTAAGATCATCAATCTAACTTCTTCTTCTTAGTCGTGTCTCATTAGTCGTAGCTGTTATGAAAACCAAGTCGCTGGCTAAGATTAAATCCGCTGCAAGGAAGTCCATACGAAAATTGTGGAGCAATTTAGGAGTCATAATTTCGAGTCTTATGCTCTCACTTCTTTACGCTAATTAGCCTTTTCTAACCTGTTCACGTCAGTCAAAGCATGAGAATAATTCCATTTAAGGTTCGTACAGACGATAGACATCAGGCTTAGCATGGGACTATTTGCACTCAATGTCCAATTCATGCATTTGAGGTACAATGATTTTATGGACGAGGAGAAACAAGGATACTGAAATGATCGTTGGGTGGACATCGAAATTCGTTATTCATTTTCTGGTTTGCCCATTATTTACTTTCTCATCCCGCAAAACTGTTTAATGTAACAACATTTATACTACTTTGAGTTGCAAAAACTCTCTTCCTTCTCTCTTAAAAAAACTCTCTAGCCAAAATATTCTCCAGCTTTCCCATGAAGAAAAATCTAGCCAAAACGTCTTCCAACCCTTTCATGGGAGAGAGATTAGATCTTTCTTCTGATATTTCCCCATGAAAGGAGCCTCTCTCTAGTTTTATTTTTGTTTGTGTCAATAAAGTCTCTCCTAAGATTTTTTACCAAGAGTTTCTTCTCTCTTGGACTTCGTTTGGGAGTGGAGGATTTGGACAAAAAAGAAAGGGAAAAAAGAGAAAGTTAAGTTTTCGTTCATTTGTTGGTTTTTAGTAGGAAAGAAAAGAAAGAAAATGGAAGGATTTAAAAGAATGAATGGTAGCCAAAATTTTTCCTCCCAAATTGGAAAATAAATGGGAAGAAAGTTTGATGATCCTTGTCAATTTTTTTAAAATGCCTATTTTGTCCTTAAAAAGGTCTTCAACAAATTTTTAATGACTTTCATATCCAAAATCTTTCTACTAATTCTCAAAACTCCTAAACAACATAACAATCTCTTTTCTTCTCTTCTCTCATAACTTAGTTTTCCCTTCTTTTCTTTTCTATCCTAAACTCCCAAACTAAGCCTTAGGGTTAGCGAGTGAGAGTTCTCTTCTCTCCTAAACTTTTTTAGTAAGAATTTTATTCTCTTTTAAGTTAGGTAGTTTTTCATTTTTTTTTTTCTATTGTTAGATTTGACGTTTTTTTTTTTTAGATTTTGATTGTCAAATCTAAAATTTCTTAGGTCTATTCGGCAAATCTCACCATAATATTTGAATTTGAAATAGCTAATCAGTAGATTTGACGATTAAAAACATACACACTTGTTCATGGGGCCACAATTATTTTATCTTAATTTTTATTTGTTTTTCATATTTGTAATATCCATTCTTTGATATCCATGTATTATCATATCTGTTTTTTTGACATCTATATATGATTGTATACGATTGATGATGCAACTTCTGCCACTAATTAATCCAAATTTTAATGAAATTATAATGTTTTATCAAAAAAAAAAAAAAAATTAAACACATCTATGGAATTGCACATTCAAATGAGAAAGTCTGGTTCCATGAATATGAATCTCAGGATAACCAAACACATTTACTCCTGCTTGCTAAACTTAAAAATCAAGGTTAATTTTTATCTTTCACGTAAAATTATTTCACTATTAGAATTGTACATTCAAATCTGTTCGTCATTGGCATCATTATTTTGCACAATTAATTTAGTTCGCCAATGGAATCACTTATTTTCCTTTTGTTATGAAGCAAATTATATTCAGCAAAATAATATTATAAAGGGCCGACATCAGAACTAGGAAAAAGCGTAGGGATAAGGTTAAGTTAGCTAGACGGATCCTACGTAGAGCGCAACTGTTCAATTCAATGGCAAGTATGCCATTTCATAGCATGGCCATCATCTACGCAGAGCGGAACATCAGTTGATCAGATCGAAAGTACATATATTCCAATTTGTTGATGCCTGTATTTGTCTATTTGTGTTACATAGTTAGTTGAATGGTCATATCTCCATCTAGTGCGGCTATACTAAAACATTCTCTTGCGCATGCAGCAACAAAACTGTTGTGCATCCTGGGTCAGGTGTGATAATACAAGCTCAAGCCACAAGCCTCACTTCTTTAATAAGGTACGGGAATCATTTCTAGAATTGACAAGAACTGGACGGGTAGACAACTTGTTTTCCTTATCTGGTGCATCGCCGCTTTTCTCGATGCTTCTTTCATCTTTTTGCGATGTAGTGGAAGACGATGCTCCTTGTATCTGTACTGTTAAGCTTCCACCTAAAATTGAACGGTATAGATATGGTAAGCATCTTCGCAGCAAATGTTTTGGAGCACTATAGCAGCACAGATACCTTGATGGCTAGACAGCCTAAGTTATAATGTAATATGCAGGTTGAAACATTGTTAAAAACTTGTCCTCCTTTCATCAAGTAGTTATTTGGCTAGAAGTCAATTAATTAAGTCAATTGACTACATGTTTCTACCATGCACGGTTGGATTTTAGAAATCATATAACAGATTGAAGATGTCTCATACCTAGAACAAGAGCAGCTCCAATCCATCCATTGACACCCC